TTGTTTACAGCTAAAATAAACTATTCTTAGATGTGGCAACTAAGTCGACAAAACATCAGCAGACAAATAATAGACCGAATTTTTTTAGAACCAAAATATTTACCGTTTGAAAAAACTGGTCCTGGTCAGATTTGAACCCAGGACCTTTGCCGTCCCAGGCGTATTCGTTACCACCAGGCTGTGTGCAAGAGACACTACAAAATTTGAATTCCTTATGAACCAAGGTACATCAGGAGTACAATGAGTCCTGTGGTCAAAAATGTTCACGGGAAAAAAGTCTAGTACCCGATTGTAATACCCTTGTATATCATAAGTTAAAAAAAAACCAAAACAAAGAAGTTATTACCTGAGTTAGCAGAAACTCTTCATGCCGAAAAAAGTTAAAAAAACTAAAATTAAACAAAAAATAAAGACTGTTTCCCCTCAGAACACACACGCACAAAAAAAGTTACTTCGCTCATCGAATGACCCAATACAAGGCTACTAAGCCGATATAAAATAAGTTGATAACTATTACGCCGGGAAAAAAGAAAGACAATTTTACAAACCGAGTAGGTAAATATTTTAACCATAATTCATCATTAAAAGCAAATTTCTCTATGGCCGGATTTCTGGAACGCTTTTATGCTCAAAATACGTCTTTTGCAACAGAAAGGCGAAGTAGATTAATGAGTCCAGTATCCAGGAGGCGAGACCTGTGAAGAAAATTATTTACGGGAAACAGTCTAGTACCCGATTGCAATACCCTACATGGCAAGATAGGTCATTCTTTAAATAGACAAAAACAAAATTTTCAAACATTCAAAAATGGTGACACAGATGCTTATTAAAAGAATAAATAGCCAACTTTCCAAGAAAAACAACACTTTTTAATTATCTGATAAAAAATCTTACTCTCAAAGAGGTTGTAACACCATTGCTTATCGCAGGACTGATTATCAATGACAATGAAAAATGAACAAAATCGGGCAGGACAATGCCTGCGCAAGAAAACAGCAAAAAAACACTTAAAATGACAAAAAAATGGATGCATAAAACTTAACAACCTACAAAAAAAACTTAAAACACAGAGCTCCAATCGATTTCTCGAAAACGTAGAAAATTATTTAAAAAACAATTTGGTGATACATTCAAAAAACCTGGCACCAGTTAAGCAGACAGTAAATTAATCGAAATTAGTTAAATGAAGTGAAAACGTTGAAAACCAAACTTAAAAACCAATTTTGGCGCATTTTGATAGCTTAAGACTTCTCTCAAAAACGTCTTCAGCGCCTATAAAACGCCAAAAATTGGCAAAATTTAGCCCGAAATCTAATTAAGAGAAACGAATCCATAAATTTTTCTAAAAAGAAAAAACATTCTATTTTCAAATTCTTACTTACATACGGCTACATCGTATAAAAATAAACCACACAGCTACATTCACTTCATAACCTCAAGCACTTCTGCTGCCTTTGCATATCTTTGAAACTTTGACTACAACACAAGAGGCAAAAAAATCTACATAAGAGTATGTCAGAAATGTCGGGAAAAAATCTACATTAAACAAACTATATCTGATAACTTCATACGATTGTCTCGATTGTGTTCTACATATGATTGTCTCAGTTCTGAACTCGAGGACTAAGCCCCGACCAACACAACCGACAGCGTTTAACTATCTTTAAGAAAAAAATTATCGAGCGGCGAGTAAGCCGACAAAATTTGAGTAAACAATCATTGAGCCAAAAACAAAATTAACATAAAACATTTAGGGCAGTTTTGAAACTCAAAGATTTACACCCTCCTGAAACACACAAAAGCCTAATAAGCTTATTTGTCCTTAAAAGGACCCATTATAAGGTAACTCAGCTGATACTATATTTGCCGAAACCAATTACGCCTAATAAACCTTTAGAGCAAAAAAACGTGGAAAGAAGAAAGCATTTAAAAAAAACAGACGTCGCAAATTAAAAAGTTAATGAATAGCATCAAAAGGTAATTCAAATCCATCAAAACTTGTTTCAACGAAAAAAATAGTATGATTTGAAAGGAAGCTGACAAAAAATAAGCAAACGAAGTCCGACAATTTAATTTCTCCCAGAAAAAATCCTAATTCATAAAAATATGTTCCTGGCCATAACAAACCCGCAACATTTACCAACTTAAGCTCAGACCTCCAAACTAAAAACAAAACGCAACAAATTGGTCAAACTTGATCGTCTATTTACGAAAGCTGAGCAAATGGTTCAGTGATTTTGTTAAGTAGTTAACCCAAAAAAAGATATATATTCCGAGTTATTAATGCTCCTCTAATTGCAAGCTTATAAATACAGCCTCTCGCATAATCAGCACACAGGCAGAGCTGACCTTCGCACTATTTGCGATACGAAAATGAAGGAAAGTGATCAAAATCAAATAAAAAAACGAAGTTTTTTTCATAAATTTAATGAAAATTACAACAGAAGCACAAAAAATTTGGAGCAAAATTACCTGGACCAATAGAAACTTTATAAGAAGCTCCCAGAAGGCTCGAAAGAAACCGAATTTTCAAAAAAAATCCTGTGGGGAACTAAGCAGACAGACTATAATCAAAACAAGGCAAAAATTATCAGTTGACAAAAAACAGGTCTCGACTGGAATCAAACTTCCGGCTTTTGTCATTTCAAACATGAAGGTTACAGTAGCTTGGAAGAAAACTGAAACTTCAAAAAAACTCGGGCTAGGAAAATTAAGCCAACAAAAATAAACAGACGGACGGTAGTCTGAAAAAGAACAAAAACTCTAGTTTGCAGAAGAGAAGTTCCGGATTCGAAGTACAAACCTTTGCCGTCTGAGACAATAGTGTAACCACTACTTCAGATGCGCCGGATGGTCGATTGAATTTGAATTTATACTTAACAAGCGGTAACAAAGCCAAAAAAACCTGAGCAGAATACCTTCATGCCGAAAAAAAAACAATCAAGTTCCCCTTCCCCCGAGAACACACACACCTACACAAACACTATTTTCGGTCATCAAACGATGCAATAGGATGCCACTTAGTCGATATGAAACAAGCCGAAACATATTACGCTTGCAAAAAGACAAACAAGAAAACTAAATTTTAAATCGAGTTGGTAAAATTACAACCAATATGAAGGCAGGATATATATAAAACTAACATGCAAAAGAAAGGCCCAGTAGATGACAAGTCCAGGAGATAGGTCCTGTAAACTAAATTATTTAGGGGAAAAAAACCTAGTACCCGATTGTAATACGCTTGCTAATCGCAAGAGTAAAAGGAACAAAAGTTTCGACTTAAGTTATAAAAAAAAATTAGAGCAAAAAACAAATATTAAAAAAAAAAATTTTTTTCAACAAAATTGACATTTTTTGCAATTAAATTTTATTTTACTATGGACGGCTTCGGATGGTGATTTTTGTTTCTCGTTAAAGTACAATCGTTTATCGTAAAATAAAGAGAACTGCAATATTAAAAAATAAGCCGACAGAATTGTAGCCGACCGACCTGTGTCAAAAATCTGCGGAACTTTTTCGGTACCGATGAAAATTACCTTCCATATGCAGGTCATACAAGTCAAAAACGCTAAAAACACGACAAAATGGTATATAATAAAAATACCATTTTGTCAATTCTGTGAACAAGTTGTTTACGGGGGAAAAATCTAATACTCGGTTGCAACATCCTTGCTTACGGCAAGGGTAATGGAAAAGAAAGCCTAGAACCAGGTTGCATTACCCGTGGCTATCGCAAGGAAAACGATAGATATGACAATGAGATGAATGACTAAAACAGATAAATGTTTTTCTGAAATAAAACGACACCTAATCTTATTTATACAAGTCCTCTTAATTGCTTTAATTGTTTTATATTCGCGCCCTTTGGCTTTCGAAATCGAATACTAAAATTTGCCTTCTATTTAGCAAAAGAACTTGAAAGATCAAGCAACTAAAATTCAAATATCATACGTGAGCGTGAAATATTGTTCACGCTCACGCTTGAAATTTGAATTTTAGAGCAATTTTGAGACTTTTTCCCGAAAAACGAAAAAGTCAACGCGTCCTATAAAAGAGCCTTCATTGACTGTTAAAATCAAACCAAAATCCAGGCTATTGAAAGAAAGACGACAAAAAACCGTTCCAAATAAGAAAAATGGCATTTAAACAAAAAGGAAAATGAACCGACGGAAACTAGGACAAAAACCATGAATCCGAAAAAATGCCGCTTTTTTCAAGAAATTTTTTAGAAAATATAATTTCCAGCTGAATCGAACCTAATTCATATTCATAATCGAATTCATACCTAAATGATGGTACTTTTATCCAAATTCGAAATGGTAAAAAAGATCCAAAGGTTTGAATAATGGACAGTAAACACACTTGTCTGAGAGGTTGTTCCGCTCAGGTCCCTGCTGGGACGCGAAACAGCTATGCTGTATTGTATTGAACCAAGTTTTGAAACAGCGCAATTTTTACTCTTAGTTAGAGCTTCCAACCTTTTGCCTTAAACTGGGAGTGCGACACAGGAGATACTTGAACAGACACCATTCTTTTCAGAGAAAAACAAAGTTTTCAAATATTCGTCAGTAAAAGTGTCCAAAATTTGAAATAATTTCTCTGCGATCGGGATTTGTCCCTGATCATTTGGATTCGGAGAAAAAATGCTGAGCTATGTGCGCCGTTAAAAAATAAATGGTCTTCTTACTGGTTTGGGAAGCAAGCTACAACGGGATCTTGTTAACTAGATGCTCCCCTTTTGCAAAAAAAAGGGGGGGTTGGCAATTCGCTGCAAGGTACAAAATTCATATATGCTTAATTGTTCAATCCTTCCTTTATAGGGGGTCCAATTCCTTACGAGGCCCAAGGCACTATAGGGGAGCATATAGTTAACAAGTGATTCAAAACCCGAGACAGAGAAAATGCGTGATAACTTTGCGAAATAGTTTTTCATCAGCTAAATGCATAGCATTAAAAACTTGTAATTACCTTCAGATACTTCACTTTTGGCTTTTATTTACCTTTTTTTGTATTGAGGTAGCACCCCTGCTTCTTTTGTTATGAGAAGTAGACATGTTTCTCCTTTCGGAGACAGTTTGTTCTTCGCATAACAGCGGTCTTCAGTGGCGACGACTGAGCCAGAGGTCTTGTTTGCATCGCAGTCGTCAATTGAAGGTATCTGCAGGTATCCGAACAACAGGACATTGCTTAGCTCGCCTGAAACAGAAAACACCCTCTGCACTAACTAAATACGCGATCTTTCAGACTGCTGTCAGATCTTCAACTGTATCTGAACTTTTTATGCTAAAATAACCTTGTGAAATTATGTTACGCCATATTTTCGTTAAAGAACATAGCTCTAGGGCAACACTGTTCTCACTCGACTACATATAAGTCAATGGCGAAGCTTGCGTAACTCTACCCGTAGGATAATTCTTGGCCAAAAGGGGCTTTTTAAATGCAGGGGTTCAAAATTATCAGAGTGATTGATCCAGCAACTTGGAATCAGTTCTAAATAGAATCGTGCCCAAATTAAGCCAAACAATTTCCTTAAAGTATAATTGTAAAATGAAGTTTTAATAATTCAATGCCGAATTTTTTGCGTTGAAATTAGTTTTTATTTGGAGCTCTTACAAACGGCATATTTTTCTAAGACTTTGGGTATAAATCTTATGGTATAAAATTTCCGGTAGGATCCCTTCGATCTAAGGGTTACTTACTGACTGAACTGTTCGCGTACCATGATTTTTTGACCAAGATTTTTAAGATTACCGCTAAGTATACACTTGGTGGCCAAAGGACTCTACATTTAAAAACCCATTGTATTCTCTCGTTTGTATCGCTGAAGTAGTGTTTAGTTGAAACTTCAACGTGTGTAGTATATTAGTTCTTAGGAGACATCGAAGTCAACTGAATGAAGAGATAAAAAAATCATTCCCTAATTTTTTCTACCTTGAATGCCGAAACTTTTAGCTTCCACTTTAAACACTGCATGCTCAATTCCACTCAGTAAAGATGTGCTCTCTGAGACACCATGAGACGCTTTCAGAGTTGTTTCCACTTGCATACACACACTGTTCTGTAAATAAGCATCTCTGTCTTCCTTGGATATTTTGGCCGAGATGTTTTTCAGGGCATCTGGAGAGTCCTTGATACTTTTGGCGTCCAGGCAGAACTCGATGTGGTCAAAGTTAGCGAGAAACGAATTCCAGTCCTGAAAAAATCTTGTTGCTAGTATTAAAAACGAAAACAATAGCTCAAAACTACCTCATTTTTCTTTTTCAAAAAGGTCACATCTCAGTTCTCAAAAACAACGAATTTGCTATAATTTGAATAAACAGCCAATTAACCTGAATATCTGGATCCTCTAAACTATGTGATGTGATATAGAAGGCGTAGGCGACCAGACCCGCTGCACACATAACCAGCGTGAACAGGAAAGTTGCCATTGGCGGGTTAACTCTCCTCGCTATACTACACATCACTCCGCACACCATTACAACACGATGAGCAGGGAGTTGTGAAATTATACGAAAAGAAAGCAAATAAACTGCTTAAAGCCAACCAGTGCCAATAACTATTCTCCAGTCTGAAATGAAAAACAAAAAATTAGCTTTTATTTAGTTCAAAAATACACCATATTGGGAAATGTCAACATGGGACAAGTTTGAAGTTCAGTGTGAACAAAAAACCGGCTGCTACTTTTTAGCGTGAACAAATAGGAAGTAAATAGGGACTTGATTCGACCGACCTATATCCGACCTATTATATGTTCTATAGTTGTATAAGTCTGGTTTTTTCTTTTCTAATTTTTACTTATATCTTACCAAGGTTTCAAAATGTTTTAATAATAACTCTTCGTTTGAACCAGGATATAGTGCTTAATAAAATTCTATGCTAAAAAATCATGAAGCATCTAATTAAACTTAAGAAAAATTATACATTAGACAATAAGATTATACTTTCAGTGTTTAAAAAGAGTTCTCTGCCTCTGCAGAACAATTTAATTAACAGGACACCCCCCGCAACACAAACCCACTTCTTCATAGACCACAACACCCTTGAAAATAGACCCTTCCAAATGGGAGCCTGAAGGGAAAATCTTTCAACGGAATTTTTATACATTGAATGTAATAAATTTAAGGATATATAAGTTCCGGTAAAAAATTCTGCCCTTCAAAATTATTGGAAAATACGATATTTTTAGTTTGAAATAAAAAACTATTTTTAACTGCTGTTTCCATTAATAAACTATAACAAGCCAGTTTTAACGTTTAAAAAAATTTTGGCTCAATTTTGGCATGATATTTATCAGAACTGACCCGAACATGCTGAGCCTCAAAAAAATTATTTTCGGCTCAATTTTGGCATGATATTTATCAGAATTGACCCGAAAATACTCAGCCTGCCTTCTTCCCCTGTAAAATTTCAACACCCGGAATTAAGTACTGCAGAGTAGCTGTTTATTGTTACGCCATATAAAAAACTAGGGACCCAGCGCAGCAAAGCTGCTTGGACAAACACATGTCCTACAGGTAAACTAATAAATGCAATAAAAAAATTGATACAGTTAAAGTGAATAAATGGTAGTTTTTAGGAAGTTTAACCCCTTTCTATTCAATTTTGCCGACAGTTGATACTTAAATTGCTTTAACTTTCTGCTATTGTAAGTGGATGACTCAATTTTGTATTGTTGGATTTGCATTTCTCTGGTTAATCGTTTCGAGTTCAAAACAGGTAACTCGCATTCAAAAGTGAGTAACCTCGGCAGCATTTCGGGAACTGGATAGCCTGAGACTTGTAGTATCAAACTACAGTTGCACCATTCAATATTATGCCACTTGCATGAATTTGAGGTTCAAAACTCGAAAAATTTTGAGATAGATAAAGATTTAAAAAAAGATAGATGCCAAAAATTAGTAGATAGTTTCAACATGACGAGAGACGTCTTTCCTTAATTATGCGAACCCGGTATTTCACACAGATTGATGTACCAGAAAACTGCATATTTATAATGTGTATGAAAAAATCCCGAACATTACAAAAACAAATTACCTTCAAGTTCTCTAAGTAAAATGGATATAGCGCTTAAGCTGCTAGGTGTCAGATCTTCGCATTACTCGGAATAAAAACACTAGAATGAACGACAGCAAACATCTGCAATTTTCAACAGCTGCCATCAATCGTATTTACTTAAAAAAACATCAGATTTCTGAAAACACTAACATTGCGAAAATTTTTGAGAAATCTTTTAAAAAACCTTTGAAAAAAATGTCAATTTTTGAAAAAGGGAAAGATTTGAGCAGTAAAATTTGGAGGTCACATCTGCAAGCCCTGTGTAAAAAAAGAACATCACTCCGCCATAGATTCAAGCATATCAAAGTGTGGTTTAACCTAGTTTTAAAAAATTCGAACGCCATATCTCGAAAACTAAAAGGCGCTCAACAGTCACATTTGAAGACCAGATAGAAACCTTTTGAGATTATTTTGACAACATGCCACCATTCAGTTGAGAATTTTATTTTGAAATTTTAAAGTATCTAATTTTTGAAAATCATAAAAAACGGCATAAATCGGAAACTACAAAGTTTTGAGCAGTCACATTAGAAAACATGATTTTCAAACCATGAGAGTACCCTAACAGCACCCAACTGTCTCAAAAACCGTCATATGTCATTAAACTGAAAAGATTTGGGTATTCATGTTTGGAATCCAAACATTTCGCAACCCATGGGAGAACCCTGAGAGCGCCCCACCTTCAGGTTGCTAATTTTGAAATTGGTGAAATAAAAGCTACACCGAAAAACGCCCGTTACAAAGTTAAGAGCGATGAATCTCACCTTTACATTAGCATTCACTGCACTGCCCCCAAATCCCCTCTCTTGCTGGCATCATAGCTACAGCTTTACATACGGGCCTTCTAATTTTCCTAGCATTCTTAAGCTGGAAAATTGAAAAAACTTCTTTAACATTGCAATAAACGATATAGTTGAACCATGCAAAGAAAAGTTATGCCATTAACCGTTGCAACAATGCTTGAATATGGCAAGATACTTGCCACACGCATTCAAATTTTGTATAGATAGATAGATTTGGGATTTTGCAGACATTGTGGAATACATTGCAGCAGTGCTGTCCATTTAGAAAAAAAAAACAACTTAAATTAATTTAAATTTTCTTTTAAGTTTTAATTTATTTAAATGTAAATTAAGAAACCACTCAATTTAAATTAAAAATTTTAGTAGAGCAATATAAATTGAAAAACATTTAAATTGCTCGGCTCCGACGCCAGAATACACATTTTACTTATGTCAATCAATTAGTCGATTAATTTCTTATTACAGAATGAATTACAGTGATTTCACGTATTAGAACTTCATATCATCATAGATGCATTAAACAAAAACTAGCTGTATCATTTTACGCGGTTTTTTTAACTTTCACACGACGACTTCCACGAAATCGATTAAGTTGAGCACTAGAGCAAAAAGTCATCACAAGAAATCAGTGACCAGTTACTGCGTAAGTACCACAAGGTTTCTGGCCAAATTCATCTTTGAAAAAACCTTCAACACACATGCGAAGCTGCGCTTCGCAAAACCTAGCGAGAACATGACAAAAAAGCAGCTTAATACAGTGAATCAACAAAATATAATTAAGTCTTGAATATGTAACATTTGCTGCGTATCGGAGTCAAACCTGCGGAGTCTCACGCCCTACCCTCTCGGCCACGAAGGCTTAACAATCGGCGAACACTAGTCACAAATAAAGCAGCTATATCTGCTAATAAATTGCCAACGCCATGCAGCAAAGTGGCACCAAATGCAAAAAGACTTAATTTTGCATGTAATAACTTGGACACAGAGGCGAAGTTGAACTTCCCATACGCAAGCAAAAAGACGACCGATAACGCTACTGAGACAAACTGAATGAGTAAAACTTTGAGTATACAAAATTTCTCAAGTGACGCACGCTAATTGTGAGTCTACATAATTGCTAAGTGACGCAAGCCAATTAAGACGCATTAGCAATACCAGTCAATTTGAAAAAAAAATCAACTAGCATGCCTCAATTTATAGAGCGGACGCATTTTAACTAGTATACGAAAAAGTTCATTAAAAACATCCGACCCTTCCCAGATTTGAATCCTCTTATTTTTTGCGCGTATCCTTCTCTGCCTCTACGCTACAGATCCATGATACATTGAAGCTAAAGTACTATTTGTAATATAATAGTCTGTGTTTTTATCCTTAGCATTGGATGTAGTAAATAACTGGTTATTGATCAAAATGAACACATTTTGTCGCAACAATATTTGTGACGTAGGTTGAAAAAAAAGAGAACTCATACTATAAAACAAGCTTCGTACATTTGCGATGATTATTTGTGGTACCTTCTCTTGGTTGAACAACGAAATAAGCCTTCTTCTCGCTCAAAATTTGACAAAAATCAAAATTTTACAGGGAACTTCATCAATACCAGCTATTTTTATCAACTAAAGAATGCATAGATAAAATACTCTCGCTGAAAAGACTTTATGAAAAGGTTTTTTGTCAAAGTTATATAAGGTACATCAACATGGTCTTGAAAACCATGAAAGTAAATAAAAGCATAATTTACACGAAAAAGAGTTTAAATTAACGACAAATAATCAACGATGCCCACCAAAATGATCAGCCCACATTTCACTACACTTGAAAAATTTATAGCACTACAATTTGGGTTATCTAAATTTGCGAACTCATTTCCGTTTTAGACTGAATGATATCTCGGTTCTGTTTTGTTCTCAGTAAAATCGTTTCATCTTTTTCTCCTCTCTGTCTTTGTAGAACAAATAGGCAACTGCAATTGCAAAAACAGCACCGACAATTACCACCACTGATACTAAGAACGTCTTGATAGGAGACCTGAAGGTACTCGAAAGCAATGAGTCTTTGGAGTCCACTCGCTTCCTCGGAGTGTCAAACTTCATAGCTCGGGGGATGGAACGCAACATTGCCATCTCAGGTTTGAAGCTCATCTCGTAAGGTATGCTGAACACCTTAAACGAGGTGATATCGTGGTTGTCGGAAAGATCTCCTGTGACTGCTGACATTCCGAAATAGTAGTGGACGGGCAAGATTACACCTTCGGATTCAAAGCACAGTTTCCATTGACCTGAGTTGTCCAAGTCTGTATGCACAGTTATGGTGTCTTTGAAGTAGCGGATTCTTACGGCAGTATCGCCATCTAAAAAAACGCATCAGCTGAAAGCATATATAATTTTTCTTGGATGTCAAGCCGAAGTGTTCACCGGAAAAAAAACAGAGATTTGGGCGACAATACGCATGAGAGCTTTCGCCCCAAGACAGAGGGTATATTTCAACGAATTCAAAAGAATCTGTTAGCATGAAGGAGCATCAGTAACTTCTCTGGAAAGCAGCCTCACCCGGATTTCTGAACGGCATATGACATCCATCCAACTGCGTATGAGTTCCGTCACTATCGTGATCATACAACAGAGATCCATTACTGACCATGCCAGATACAAATGGATGTGCATGATTATGTTCGCCCTGGTGATTCGAGTAGGTGTCGAAGAACATTCCTAGACCTTTGAAGCCATTTTTGCATCCAAAAACAGGACCCTGCATCATGCGTTCTTGTGTGTACCAAAGCGCAAAACCATCCCCAAAGAGAGTTTTTCCCTTTCCATGCACTCGGAAAGTCACTATAGCCTCCCAATATGGTTGTCTCATTGTATGCTGAAAACATAAATGAAGGAGGCACATAAAGAACAAACTGAATGAGGTTACTTAATTTGTCTTCACGTACGACAAGCAAATAGCCTTGAAGTTCTACACATTAAAAATGTTCTAATTTTTGGTTCAATGTACCTTGGACCAGATGGATCCCTGCTGACTCTTCTGGTCCGGTGTCAGTCTGATGTACTTATCCGTGATCATCGTAGATCCCGATATGTCCCATGCAAACTCTTGCTGAAAAGGTTTGGTCAGACTCAGACCATCCTCGTAAAACGTCTTCGTGTCGTCTGCAGACGGATCAGCCGTCACAACACCACTCAGATGCAGCGGGTATAAAACAAGGAGAGCAAAACACACTGACATACAGCGTCTGTTCATTTTTAGTCTAAAGCACAAACTACTTCTTATTAACAAACGAATTACTGAATGATTAAACAAAAAACCGCATCTGGAGTAACTTAATAACCTAATGGCATAGCTGATAAAACTCGCACTTATCTTGAATGGTTCAAACAATCTAGAAAGACCTGGATGGATTCGGATGATAAAAACAAATGAAAACCTTTGTACTTAAGACATAGCGATGAAAAGTTTTCAAGACCATGAAGAATTTTGCAATAATATTAGCAAAAAGCGTTTGCTACAGCCAGATGAAGAGATCCAGCACTCAAACTAAGTGGATATCAAGCACCATACATTCTTTTTAAGGGAGCCAATATGTCTACAATTTGAAGAGCAGAGTGCCGAAAAAAAACCTTTTATTGACCAAAATCGTAATTGATTCGAACCACCATGATTTTCGTAGCGATATCCCAACATATTGCAAGTAATTGAATTCATCTGAGGATACATAATTTATCTGCATTTAGCTAACCAGTTAAACTTGGCCAAAAGACTTTTCCAGGGAACAAATTCGCGTGAACAAAACAGTTTATTTCTACAGCCTTAATTTTAAATATCGTTGATAGCATCCTTAATTTGTTTAAATTTTGAAACCTGTTTCAGCGATAGTGAACAAAATTGACCATTACAAAAAACGCAGAAACTAAAAAGTTGACACAGAGGCGAAGCCCGGCGTTGCACCACTTGCGATAACTAACATGCAAAAAAATTGAAAACAAAACAATTACATCTACAAAAGTTTCTTAATTTTTGTCTCGAATAATGTTCAATTTGAGGACAGCACGTCCAACAACACAATGACCGGCAAAAAATTTGTTAATGAAAACTTTTGAAATTTATGTTTTGAAACTCTTTACAGCCCTCCTCTTTCAGAAACGCAAAAAAAATGATGAAAATCTATTTTTCCTTCATAAAACACAAATTTAGGTCCATAAGCTGATAAAAACAAACGCCGCAGCTATTTAGGCCGAAGAAAAATTTTACGCGAAAAAGAACAAACAAAAAATTATACAAGTTGAGAGTTTTACAAATTACATAAAAGAATCAAAAACAAGAAAGATAGACAATGTGGAAACTAAGGAGACAAAACATAACCAGACAACTGACAGGTCGATAATTTTTTTGATATTGAATACTACAAACTACAAAAAAAACAGGTGCTGATCGGATTCGAGCCTGGGCCCTTAACCGCCAACTAGTTTTCGTAACAGGTAGTTAATTTTGAATTTTTAAGAAATTGAGCATGTTTGCTGCTGAACTGAATGCTGTCTAAATGATAACTGCACAAAAGTTGTACGCCCGAAAAAATCCTATATTCTAATTTAATAACGCTTGCTAATTGCAAGTTTAATTAGAAAGACCAAATTGGACAAAAAATAAAATGCACGTGAAAAATATTTTCTTGAGCCCAGGAGAAAGATACCTTCATGGTATAAAAAAAACTTCGTCAAACACTTGTATTTCTATAGTCGAGTCAGTCGCACAGCGGAAAAAAACACCGATGATAAATACTCCTTTTATACTTGAAACGAAGAACATAGTCAACTGACAGTTGGAAAGGACAAAGTAACGCAAGGAAACAGACAAAACAAAAGACTAACTTATTCTTTGAAAAAACTTCAACTTTCTTTAATGAAAAAATATATGCCCTTGAAGATCTTTGAATTTCACGAACAATTTATGATTGGTGCTTTTTTGATAAAAATAACCATTTTAAGAAAACTGGATCAACAGGTAAAGCTTTATTTCTCTGGGAAAACTATTATTAAATTCCATTTTCTAAATTAGAAGTCAATCAACTTCAAACTTCGTCGCCTCCAAATTTTTGCTGTTCGAAGTTAACTTCAAAATAAATCAAAAGTCTAGCCGGGAAAAATGAACTTGAGCCTGAACACATTTTAATACGACCTGAAAAAGAAAACAAAAAAAATCATCACGACCTCTTTAAGAATCTGAAATAACTTGGACACTCAAAATTGGCATTTCCTTGAAATACTAAAATCCTATAAGATAACAAGAATTCTTGTTAGCTGTACAAGTAATATAGCTTCATTTTTGATTTTTTTTTCTTCAAATTTGTGCATGTGGGTCAGAATACTGAAATTTAGATCAAAAACCACCTACAAATGGCTTTATTGTTTTCATTAATAAATCATTTAAAAAATTCATCTTTAGATAAAAGTTATTTTATTACACTTGCGAGAGAAAGTGTTGCTATCGGGAACTATACTTTATTTGCCGTAAACAACTTTTACAGATTTGAAATAAAGAAAGTCACATAGTGATAACACAAAAATCACGACCGCTCATTTCATAAAATTAATTACCGGTTACAACTACGCGTGCTGTGAAGATAATTTAAACGTTTTCGATTTGAACGCAGACAGGTTTCGGAACAAAAAAATCCGAGAACAGTCAGAGACTTGACAAAGTTCAAAACAAATAATTCAGAAAAAATCTTTTTTGTTGGGAAGAAAGTAACGGAATATTGATGTTCCCTATGGACGAAATGCCAAAAATTGGTAGCATGCACTTGATTTGGTTAAGAAAGCTCGTTTAGATAAATACTTATCAAATTAATAGCATTTTACTTAAATTAGGTAAACTGCTTACGCTGTGCTGTAGAAAGTATAGCTCCCGATTCTAAGACACTTGCTCTCGCAAGTCTAATTATCACACAAAACCTAAATAATTGCCTCGTTCTTTTCGTTCAATTTTTGAATAGTTGAATCTCCGCTTTGCATACACAGTCGGGTCATACGCGTAAACACAAGAATTCAGTCTAGAAGGAAAGATCACCAAAAAGTACAAACTATGAAGAAGTCTTCGAGCTGAATGAAATCATACGACGCCATTCAACTAAAAAGACAACCGCTGTAACAATGATGCCATGCTCCCTTGATGCCATCAAAACTGGTGTCATCAAAACGCTCTCTATTGGATATAAATTTTGCGCTGAAGCAAAACTTTTATGCAAAATTTGTGTGCGATTGCGCAATATTGAATTTGCAATACACCTAGCAATCTGGCTATATTAATGTTGACAAACATAATTTTTCAAACTAAGTTAATTTGTTGACAAGCATAATTTTTAAAACCAAGTTAGTTTGTAGCTTACTTCAGCTTTGCAATGAGCTTAAGTATAAGTTAACATCCTCCCCTCCCCCCAATATTTCTCAACTTTCTTTTCGGAGCTAGACTAAAGAATAACAAGACTGCTCGTATCAGGGCGAAGCCCTGAATGTTCCGACTGCCTTTTAAGGTCTATGGAGCAGTAATAACACGAAAAAATTAATTCTTATCAAAAAATTGCATTTTTTTATATTTGAGATTTTTTGTCAAAATCAAACCCCCCCCCCCCCCCCCACACGCCATATAAAGTGTAAAGTGATAGCTTTCGCTCCTTTAACAAATCAATTATGACATATAAGCTTCCTTGAATCAATTTGGAACAATTTCTAAGAGGATTAAATCTCGCTTACCCGTTAATAGCGCGAAATATATCGCGCGTTAATTGACCCAAATGGCAACCTTCAAACCCCCATAACTTTACGAAAAATTATCACAGGTTAAATATCTTTTCAAGTTAAAGCCCAGGACAACAATAATTTTTGAATGATATAAAAAAATTCCGTCAAAATGGCTAGTTAAAAAGTCGAAGTTTGTCTGAAGAAAAAAACCCACCCCGAGCACAAATATTCCGTTACTTTCGTTACGAACGTCGGAACAATAAATATTCCGTTTTCTTCAAAAGTTGGAACAAAAATTCAATAATATTATAAAAATCGGACTCTGTGGGCCGTTTTTGTAACGGAATGGTGGAAAAAGTACATTTATTTCTTCGAATTTTGTATGCCAGTATCTTCTTTAAATTCGCACTGGTTGGAATGCTTCTTATAAAACGGAATATATCGAGACATTTTCTTAAAACGATCCAATTTTAACAATGAATCACAATTCAAAAATACTGCATAAATAAACAATTACAAGAATAGACTACAATTAAAGTGCCTTGATAGAGTGGAATGCCTCAAAAACAGCTTGTCAATGAAACAAATAAATACACGGCACATACTATCAAATAAGCAAAACAAATTTCACTTAACAATCAAAAATAAATCTATCTCATCTCAAAATTTCTCACCGTATGAGCACAAAAATCATCTAGTCAAATCTCTAAATCACCGTCTACCTATCTAAAGATCTCAACCATGGGAACAAGGTGAATGCATACTTTCGATTTCATTCATTAGGTGTCCAAGTCAGCATAGACTCGTAGAACTTGATGACAACTTGAGGACACTTAATGTTGGCTTCTTTAGCCAGTACAATATCCGGATCGTTCTGCCCCTTCCACTTCATGAGGAACTTCAGTTCTCCTCCTGCATCACTAGCACCATGAATTTCTTCTGGATCCAAACCTCGGGCGAACCCGTAAGTAGCAGGAACTTGAAAATGGTCTTTAGCTTTTTCTTTTGAACTCGATTTCTTTGCAGGTTGAACCTTAGTCTAAAAATAAAATCAATTTTTATATAGCTTCATCGAATTTATATATAAAGCATTGCGTAATATAGCCATTTTGCTAACAAAACTTAAATTTTCCGCGATGAATAGAAAAAAATTTTCAAAAAAGAACTGATTAATTCTCGAATTCCATTCAAAATCATGATCGTGTCTTTTAATTAAAAAACAACTCTCAAAAAATGGAAGGAAAAGCCACTTAGGGTAGATTTTCCAACGCTTTTTAGGAACCTCAACGAAATATTGCAAGCGATTTAGTGTAGTATCATACTAAAGCCCTCTCAGGCATAACAATGCCTAAAAAAGGTTCTGTCGAGAAAAACTGTTCTCAATATTTTGCTATTCACGCTTGCTGGCTCTTCATTTAAACACTTTCCTATGGTTGACTGTTTTGATCTCCTTTTCTTTTTTCACAACATTGCCAACAGACAATTGGAAAAATAAGGAACGCAATGAAAGAGAAAACAATTGGCATTTTAATGAATTTCACAGAAAAAAACAGATAGCCCAAAAGCTCTTTGCAATTCGAGAACAAATTATTAGTGCCAATTTTTTGATAAAAATAGGCTAATTTGAGAAAATTGGATCAATCAGTAAAATTTTTAACACAGAGGCGAAGCGAAGCGAAGCTTCGCACCACTTGCGATACAACAATTAACGCAAACGAGAGATAACATTTCTCCTAGAAAAAAAAGCGGACGCCGCTTCTGCGGGAACAATTATCGAAACCGGTTCTTTCAATTGATTTTTTTTTTATCTCAGATTTGATTGTGTAAATTTTGTGTAAAAATTCAAAAAGTTTTTTTAAAAAAGCAGTCAAAAGTTCTTAAAAACGGTCAAAAAATTTTCCAAAACCCATAACTTTTTCTGCAAAAAGCAGGTTGTGGCCGCTTAAGCAGAAAAGATTCCCAATACCGGGTTTTTCGTGAAGTCAAAAAGTTTCCAAAAACTGTCAAAGTTTCAAAACTTTGACTTGTTTGGAGGCCATAATTTTTTAAAAAACAAACTGAGCAAAGCCAATTATAAAGGTTTCATTTAACCTGTTGTTCTGATTGAACCTATGATATTAGATTTGACTGGATAGTTAGCGAGAACAATCCAAAAAACGGTCAACAAATCAAAAATTGGACATTTCCGAGAATCACAGCTTTTTGCAAGAAAAATTAAGGCTTAAGCGCTTATCCAGAAGGGAATCACGCAGCCTGTAGTTTCGATTGAACCCAAAATCTCAGATTTGGGAGGGTAGGTAGTTCTCGAGAAAAATCAACTTTCAAAAAACTATCAACAAATCAATAAATTGATTTTTCCGAGGGCCTTAGCTTTTGGTGTCAAAAAATGGGCGCAGTCGCATAAGTTAATAAGCATTTCACAACTCGTTTGGCGGACTAAAAAATTGACCCAAAATCTCAGACATGGCAGCGTAGTTTTCGAGAACATTGCAAAACTTTGAAAAAAAGCGGTCAAAAAATCAAAAATTTGATATTTACGAGGGCGATTAATTTTCGTGTAAACAAATTTGTGCATGTCCGCTAATGCAGGGGAGCTTCCCACTACCCGTTATCTCCAATGGACCCAAAATATCAGATTTCAGAGGCTAGTTTCCGAGAAAAGTCACGAAGATTCACAAAACGGTCAAAAATCAAAAACTCGACTAATCCCAGGGCCATAACTTTATTTGTTAAAAAAAATTTGGCTGTAGCCGCCTATGCAGGGGAGCTTTATAAAACCGTTCTTTTCATTCAAACCAAAAACTTAAAATTGAGAGTGTAGTTTTCGAGAAAACGAAAAAAAGATTGGTCAAAAATACTTTTTGGAGGCTGCTAACAGAGTGGTCAAGTAAAAACAGAAACTAGGGGGAGTTGCAGGCACACCGGGGAGTAAGCGCTTTTTCAATTCACATCTCTTTTTGAAACCTAAGACGAAAATTCTGGACAAAAAAACTTCCAAATGAAAAAACAAATTGAAAATTCAACAAAACGAGAGGTAAAGTACAAACAGCTTGAAAATTGAGGGGAGTAATAAAATTGCATTTCCCTTGGAACGATTTAAAATTAAGTCACTAAGCCGATAAAAAATAGGCCCAAATAATTTAGGCTGAGGAATTTTTTAACGAAACAAAACAAAAAAAGAAAGAAATACGAAGTCAAGGTAAGTAAAATTACAAATTGTAGGAGTAAATCAAATACTGAAAACATTATTCAAAATGCGTGCAGCAAAAAAAAAACGATTTCATGAGCTGAATTTAGTTATTTCTATTTAATATATACTTTTTTGATAACTGATCGGACAGTCTGTGATACTTGCAGAGCAACTGGTTACTTTTGTTCTGCTGAGAGAACTAGGATAGGAACTAAACAGATGAAGCTCATATATCAAACTTCGGTTAACAATTTTCGAACTTGAAAGGCTCCTCATACTATGCAACCTTATTGGAATCTGATTGTGCTTGTGTTGATGGTTTAGATTGAGATGTAGACGGCTTATCCTCGTCCTTCACTCTTGTCAATTCCTCTTTTTCATATGCCGCCAGTAGTTCAGGACAGTCCAGGTTCTCAGCAGGCTCCCAGGTATTAGCAGAATGGGGCCAGTTTTTCCACTTCAGCAAGTACTGGACTTTACCTTTTTTGGTAACTTTTTTGCCGACGACTGATTCGACAACATACTGCTCCTCCAGTACCGATTCGCTTTGAGTTTCCACGTTTTCTTTGTTGTCCACTTTCTTCTTAGGTTCCGAGCGGGATGTTGAGGAGTGAGATATCGGTTTCCGGTCAGATGGTCGGCGAGCGCCAGATGTTGATGGCATTTCACGCTCTGAAAATTCCATAATCAAACTTTATTTTGTCTAATTAAAAAAATGTACCTCAAATACTTCTGTCAGAGTTATCATAACTTCTAATAGAGCGGTACAGGCAATGGGGGGAATAAAATGAAGCTGCTATTATAGAAACCTCTCAGCCGAAAATTGTACGAAGCTTTAATTTTAATGCAGACGACCACTGTTTACATGGAAAAATTGACTTAATGACACATAGACAACTTAAGAATTTCAAAGTATAAAAAAGATACTTTAAAGCTCTTATTGCGAGAATATTTCATGATTGACACTTTTTTAAATAAAATTACCTCAATTTGAGAAACCTGGATCAATAGGTAAAGTTTATATTCCGCTGGGAAATCTGAAAACTTAAATCCACTTTCGAAATTCGAAGTCGATCACACGTTTTTCGTGACCTTTACACTTTTGTTGTTAGTTACTGGAGTTTGCCTTTCTTTTTAAAAAAGTGAATTGAATTTAAAGCAAAAATCAACAGTCAAACCAAGAAAAATCAAATTTGACCGTGAACAAATTTGAAGTTTTTCCTGAAAAAAATATCACGTCTTATGAAAGAGTATGAACTACGTTCATCGAGTGACCTTCAATTCAACTCCAATACTTACAAACCGCAGATATTTCAAAAGTCTAATCAATTAAGTATATGCACTAACACCATTGTGATTTCGCTACGGTTAGAATTTGACAGCGACTATCGTCCTTATTTGGATCAGATCACTCTCTATTGAAAACCTCTCATTTTTCTGAAAATGGATTGAGAATATCATATCATAATTCACAGACAAATTGGACAAATGGTAAAGTAAACAAATATATAACAAATCCATCAACTTTAAATCCGTAAACAGTGAACGAAAAACATCATAATAATCTCCATCAAAGCTTGGCTCAATTTTAAATATTTTTAAGCATAACTGAAATGCTATGCGCTGAGCTTGGGTTCAAAACCATAATATTGAACTCTGTATTGAGTTTTTTTAACTACTGTCGAAAAATTCCTCGATAAGAATCAGCTAAGTTTCTCAGTGTTCATCGATGTCTCCCCGAGTCTCTTGGATACCCTCTTGAACCTCCATAAGATCCCGATGATCTGTGACATCCTGACCTTTGACCGTAAAACGGAGGCGGCGGTGAATTTCTCCTGCTGTTATTGCGATCACTTCCCCCTCCTCTACCTCCATATCTTCTGTCAGGTGAGGGTGAATAATTCCTTCTGTAGCCCCCTCCCCCGACACCTCTTCTAGGGGGGCTCATTGAGTGATCTCTGTGTCGACTGGACTCTGTCTCCAAAGTAGTTTTTAGCATTGCGGACTGTTGTTGTAGTTGTTCCAGTTCTTTCTGCTCGGCTGCTCGTTTTCTGTCTCTGACTACCATTTCGTCCTCTGTGAGAGGTAACCAGTATATACAAGGGTCTGCTTTGGTTTTGCGGAAAAGATCATCTAGCAGTTTGACTGGCGCTTTTTCCTTCAGTTGTTCCTTTTTCAGACGCTCTTCTTCGTCTAAACCAAACAGCATACACATATTTAGACGATTGCAACTCCTTTGCTTATCGCAAGGGTAAACATATGGCCTATTGAGCAATTTTTATAAAATCATGAAAATTGTCATGAAGTTTACAAGGTCATTTTGCAAACTCAATTTTGCGAAAAGAGAAGAAAGACAGATTTTCTCATAGGTTGAGCACTTTGAACTTTTACACCACAACCGAACAGAAATTTATATCAAAATAAATTGTAGCCTCTCAAGCGAATCAAAGAAGCTGACAAAATCGATCAAACAAACCTAACTATTTAGGCCAATTAAAACTTTTAAGCGAAAAAAAAAGCGTTGAACGTCTGGGGTAGTAAATCTATAAACTACAGCATTATATCAAACGCACTTGGAACTACAACTAAAACTGCTTGCAGCACCAGTGATGTGGTCAATAAGTTGCCGTCAATAAGTCAATTTCATATATACTTAGAAAAACAAGGTCCAGCCGGGAATCACACACCCCAGACCTTACAGTGCAAATGCAAACTGGAAGTTGAGGTTTAATAATGAAGCAAATTTAAATTCTCACAGAAGTTAGCAAAGATGTACACGGGAAAAAACTCTTCTTCCCGATTACAAGACACTTGCTCATGCAAGTGTAGAATTCACAATGCTTTTTCTCAAATAGTTTGCAGCTTTAGCGGTTTGCAGCAAATTTTCAAACTACTGGATATCAACAGACGCAAATCGTAGTCAGAGGAAACAGATATATACTTTCAGTATTTTCAACAACCGCAAGCACATCGCCTTTTCCAGGTAAATTATATTCAAAACTTTAGTTTGAAATACTTTCCAAAGTTTAAGAAAATACTAGAAAAGCTCCTCAAAACTTTAATTTTTTTTAAAAATAGTGCTTTTAAACGGGAAATAACGGGAAGCTTTCAAAAACTAGAGATATATTATAGTCTCATGTCATCATTTTCGGAATAAATTGAGGTTTTTCTTGCTTCGTTTAAATACAATTTAAATTGGAATCAGAATTAGATGAAAGCCCCAAACACTGAGGCGAAGCTCACTTTGATGATGAAAATTCTATCAACTTTTATGGGAGACGGCAACATACCTCTCTTTGAGCAAATGAATTTTAATTAAATTAAAAAAAACAAATCGCAAAAAAAAACAAAATTGAGTGAGTACAACTTCTTCGAAGACGTACAACTACTTCAAACACCTAATGAAAAAACGCAGCAAATTTCCAGATTTTTGACAAATTTCAAAATTTTCTAGACTAACCAAAACTATGGGATTCTATCAACGACAATATTAAAAAATGGAACGTCATTCGTCAAAATTTGTGAAAAAGAAAAAACATGATTTTTTATAGAGTTAAGATCAGATAAAATAGGTATAAGTTTGTTACCCACTCAAGTTCGGAAAAATTATGAGTTAAAATTCGAAATCATTCCCGTTTTTTGCGACCTAAACAGTTTTGCTGTTTGGCAGTGAAAATAGCGCGTAACACGACAATTCGCAACAAAAGACAACTCCCAAAAAAAACAACTCGTATAAATTAGCAATTACAACAACTCGCAAAACGCGATAACTCGCAATAAACTTGCAGTAAGATAATTCTTTAATTACTCCGAAACTAAGACCCGTAATTCTCCCATTAAAAATCATTTAATTTTCTTTTTATTTCAAAGCAATTATTGGGGAAAGATATGAGTCTTTTTGTTCGTTTATGACCCAAACATGAGTTCAAATCCTTGATTGCATTAATAGGTATACCATCATTTTGGTTTCTAAAAATGTTTCTAGTCATTCAAATGATATTGCAATTCACTACAAGTCAGTTCGGGAAACGAATCTTGATCTTTGAAGATGAAAAATTAAATGAAGTTTGATTTATTAAAAAAAAAGCGGGTAAACAACCTGGAGACCCTCAAAAAACGTTGCAAATCAGTACTTCCACGTGATGATTTATTTGTGAGGAAAAAATGGATTATTTATATTCAGTGTTATATTCAATTAAACATTTTAAGAAAATCGGTTCAAAAAAGGGTAAAAAAGCATGACCGTGAAACGTGCATAGCAGTTAAAAATCGAGGGGGGAATGTACAAAAAACTTTTGACAAGCTGTTTCGAAAAATAGTCCTCACTACTTGCACTATTCTTGGGGGCAAAATGTAAAATTTTCGAAAATGTTGCAAAAACTTTTGCACTAAATTTTACAAAATGTTTTTCACTACTTCAGCGGGCAAAATGCAAATTTTCCAAAAATTAAAAGAGCGCAAAATACGCAAAAACATCCCCGATCTATTTATCAAAACGTAACGAGCACCGTTTCTGAGGAGTGCGCAGCAAACAAGCCGAAAATTACCTCGGTTGCAAGAGCGATTAAACGAGAAAGAGACTTCGGAGGTTTGCCTAAGACCGTGAAGGACATAGCAATTCCCATGGAACTTCAAACCACTTTAAGGGGGAAAACTTTTTGACTCATAAATTGGGGCCGGGGGATTCCGACCGACTTCTTGTGTACACCACTGATGCAAACTTGGACATTCTCGAGCGTTACACAACTTTGCACGCCAATGGCACAATTTAAAAAAGTCCCTCGTTGTTTTATCAAAGATATACTGTACATGCTGTTATACATAACTGCCCCTTACCAATGGTTTACTTTTTGTTGCAACGAAAAACTCAAAAGCAATATCAACAAGCATTTCGTGTGTTACGAGAACTTAACTCATTATTAGAGCCAAAAGAAATTGTTATTGATTTCGAAAAGGCAGCAATTTCTGCTTTCAAATCGGAATTTCCCACAGCGACCATAAAAGGGTGCTTTTCTCATTTTGCGCAGGCCAATTGGCGAAAAATACAAGAATTGTGACTGGCGGTTGAATACAGAAAAGACACTTAAAAAGTGAAATCAGTTATTGCGCTGGCTCTCATTCCTGAATGCGACTTGATGTTGGCACTAGAAGCTCTTTACGCAACAACAACTGAGAATCAGCTCCATTCATATCTCAGCTATTCCGAAAAAACTTGGGTGGAGGAATTTGTGCGTGGAATTCTACGAAAAGATCCAGATTTCAAACCAGCTATATGGAACCAGTTCAGCAATGCGGCAAATGGAAATCAAACAACCAACAATTCGCTCAAGGATAGCATAGAGTTTTTCAAGTATGAATGGGTTCTGCTCAACCCTGTATCAAAATTCATCCAACGAAAAAGGAAGGAGCAAAAAAAAATCGTCTGATTCGGTTCAAATCCGGAGAAAAGGCCCTATAAATGTCCTAAATATGAACAATTGGCAACAAAGGATGTCAGAAACTTTAAAATTATCAAAACAATGATCTAATTTCGCAGCTGGAAGCTCTTTCAATCAAGTTTGATCTATAAACCACTTTATACCAAAGAAACTTTGACGCCTCAAAGGCTTTGATGTTTAAACGCTTTTTTGTTTCACATTTAGATTAAAGGGAAATTTAACTTTCTTCTGAGTTTTATACGAGTTGTCTCTTGTTGCGAGTTGTCGCGGTATCGAGTTAGCGGCAAGGGCATTTTTTTTTTAATTATCTCAGTAAAATCTAATTGGATGTTTTATTCCGCTGGAAAGCCTGAAAAATTAAAAGGCAACCTGAAAAGAAAGTGACCTGTCACTTTAAAAGAAAGTGACATTAAATGACAATCACTGCTTCTTTTACACTTCAAAATGACTTTCATCTATTACAAACAATGTTTATATAGAGGAAAATGCCATGCTGTGGAATTAGCCGACAAGAAAAAAGCAGACTAACGAAAAAAGCCACTTGAAATTTTCCAAGCAGAAAATTATCAAAATACAAAAGATAAGCTTACAGGCCGGACTCAAACACCAAATCCTTTGTTGTCCTAAGCATAAGGGTTAATTCTACGCTTTGCGGGAAATAGTAGTAGGGATGTGCAAGCTTCATATGGTAATATCGTAAACCAGGAATTCGTAAAACAAAATTATCGGAAAGAAGTCTTGTACCCAATAATCTCGGTACCCAATACCCTCGGTAATCGATAGAGTAAATAATATAAATGCTTGCTCATACGGAAATAACTGGTTAGATCTCACTCTGATCATGTTTCTATTTTGTTGAAGTTTTCTGTTGATACTTAACGGACATTTTCGTTTTTGTTCCATTCGTTCGTGGTATCGATCTCTCATCTCCTGTTCCCTTCTTGCACTCACTTTGGGGTCCACTGCGAACCTGCTGTTATCCTCTCTGTCCCTGCTTTCTCGCCTCTTCCTCGTCGGATCTGCCCTGGCCATTTTATTCACACTCGGGTAGTCACTGAACGACTCACGCGATAGCGATCTGCAAACAAATATAGCCAAAAGACATTTGGAAAAGTGTCAATGACCTCAAGTAGAACAAATGTGCTTCAAATTTCAAGCAAAAAATAAAAAATTTCTAAAGCACCTTGCATTTCAAGAATAATGCAAGATGGACACTTTGGGAACATAGCCAACATACAGTTGGAAAAAAAAACAATGAACGCAAGAAAACAGAAAAAAAACTGGCCTGTTTTTTTTTTAAATCTCAACTTTTGAATTTCGAAGAAAAAAAATTAGATGGCTTAAAATTTCAAGAACACTATGATTGACACTTTTTTTCGTCTGAACCATAAAAAATTAACTGAATCATAAAAAACTGGATCGATAGGTAAATTTTTTATTTCGCTGGGAAATCTGATAACTGAATTCCATTTGCTAGATTCCGTTTGTTTATTCATGCATATCAAAGCAATTAACAGGGACAATAGTAAAACATCCCGTATGTTTGATAATGTATATCAAAGCGAAATGAAGGGAATAATTTGGGCGGAAGTGACTGCTTTTGGGGCGGAAACGATTAGTCACGTTACCTGCTTCTTCGTTTCCACTCTTTCCTCTTCGACCTGCTCTCGAGGCCAGCTGCAGTTCGGATGATGTTCGGCGACCTTCGAGTTGTGAACTTCGTCTCCCCAATGTCAGCTTCCTTCGATTCACTTCTATTCTTAGAGATTTTTTTCAGAATCCCTCTGACGTCATCCAGCTGCAATTGACTGACAAATTCCAACTTCAACGTCTTGGGATTTGTCGAGGGCCACTTGCAGCCGAACAAAGATTCGCGACAATTCTTCGCACTGTCTTCCTCTTTGAACTAAAATAATTACCTTTTTCAATCCCATCTGTGCATGGGGGGGGGGTGTGTTTACAAACAACAAATATCTAAGAAAATGGCTTCGCTCACCTTCACGTAACATTGAGACTTGATGTCATCGATCCAGAATTCGTCATCGATAATTTCGCCAAACTTCCCTAAGAGTCCCTTCAGTTGTAACAACGTAAAAGGCCTTGTCAGTCGCATCACGTGCACTATAGTGGACACTGGGTTGCGTGCCTCGGGAACAATTTCATCTGGCTCTTTTTTGGGCAAATCAACACCCAATGGCGTGGCTGCGGCATCTTCGGTGTTTCGTCCTTTCACTTTTGGAACAATTGTCTTCTTCGGCTCAGCTTCGACCGAAAAAGAAACTAAAACAAAAAAGTTTTAAATAGGGCCAACCTTCAGAAGAACTATTAAGGATTCAGAAAAATTAGATTTTACTATTAATGCAATTTTTAGAGAGTTAACTATGTGAGCAATGATTTTGTCATGGTGTCTTCTGCGACTCAGTAATAATGATAGATTATGACAGATAAGACCAGGACTCGATACTCAATATTAAACTGAACTTTGAACACAGTACCAAAGCAGAGCTTCGCACTACTTGCGATACATCACAAGCGTATCATGGCACCTGATCGACTCGGCAGAAAATGAGACGAAAGCGAACATCAGAAAACTTAGCTAAAAAGTTCGACAACGAGGCAAAGCGAGGCGATACAACATAAAACTAGCATGGTATCTACACGAAAGCCACCAAATCGAAAAAAAAAAACGTTTAAGCAAACTACATCTACAAAATTATATTGCTTGTTACGAATGAAGTTCAGCTTGAAAAAAAAAACATAATAAAAAAACAGTCGATAGAGTTAACACAGAGGCGAAGCTGAGCTTCGCGCCCCTTGCGAAACAAATATGATCGTTATGAAAATCAAACGGAAAAAAAGATCAAAAAATCGTTTTTGTCAAAAAAAATTGCAACAAAAGCCCAAAACAATCCGGAATAAAATTGCCTGCACCAATAGATACTCTAGAAAGAGCTTACGAACTGCCATAGAGACGCCAAGTTTTCAAAAAAAGAACGTCCTTTCTGCAGAACTTAGCAGACAAAAATAAGCAGACAGATAATCTAAATTAGCCAAGATTTTCTATTTGCGAGAAAAACAAGTCTTAACTGGAATCGAACTCCCGGCATTGGTCTTCTTACGCATGGGGGTTAGAGCAACTTGAAATATAGCTGAAACATCGAGCTACGGGAACTAAGCCGACAAAAACAAACAGACGGACGATAATCCGAAAAAGCACAAAAAAGGGCCCGTCCGGATTCGAGCCGCGAATCTTTGCCATCTCTAGCACTTGTTTTACCTCAACGCCAGATGTGCCGGATGGTTGATTGGATTTGAATTTGTAATTACCAAGCGGTAACAAAGCAGAAATCCTTCATGCCGAAAAGACATTCAGAAAAATTCTAAACTAATAAAAAATGTCCCTTTTCCCGTCAGAGCCCACAAACGCGCAAAGCATAATTTTTTTCGGACGTAACGACGCAAAAGAAGACCACTAAGTCGAAACTAATTGGGCTGAATGTTACTAAGCCGATAAAAAAAGACGGGAAAAAAATGAAATTTTAACATCGAGCTGGTTAAATGACAACCAATGTGAAAACCAAATTTCAATTCGGCCAGATTTTTCAAATGCTATAAACATCTGCAGTTTAAATTGTTTACAGCTAAAACAAAACGATTCTTACAATTAGCAATTATGCCAACAAAACAAGCAGATAAATATTAGGGGGAAATTTTTTTGAACCGGAACAATTACCTTTTGAAAAAAAACTGGTCTTGGTCAGATTCGAACCCAGAACCTTTGCCGTCCCAGGCGTATTCATTAGAACCAGGCTAAGTCTGCAAGGGGCACTACAAATTTTTAATTCATTATGAAACAAGGTACCACCAGTTAAATGAGTCCAATGAGTCCTGTGGACAAAATTGTTTCCGGGAAAAAAAGCCCAGTACCCAATTGATTGCAATACACTTGCTATCGCAAGGGTAAATATACATTCAGAAAAAACATCCCGAACGCAACTAAGCAGACAATACTTGCGTAAGCGCCTGTTGAGCCGAAAACAATTGTTGTCATAGAAAAAAAAGGAGAAAATCTGAGTGGGAACTATATAAGGGATTGTTAATACGCGAGGGTAAGTAACGTGGTAATTGAATTGTAAAAAAATGACATAAATAATTGTAAAACAAAATGACATAGCCAACGTATGAATTTAAAAAACGCATTAACTTTTTTTGATCATTTTTAACCTTCGAAATTCGGAGAAAAACATCACGATAAAGCTGCTTAAAATTCTATTTATGATTTGCCTTAAAAGTTATGATCAAGAATGCTTCTTAGAAAACTAACTCAATTAGAGAAAGCTGGGTCAAAAATCCACTTCCAAAACTTTAGTCATTCACCTTTTTTGCCATTTGCACATTTTAATTGGAGCGCGAAATTTGCTTTCGTTTCAGAAAAAAGATTTGAACTGAAGTCATTCACCTTTTTTGCCATTTGCACTTTTTAATTGGAGCGCGAAATTTGCTTTCGTTACAGAAAATAGATTTGAACTGAACTTTGAAATCAAAAGTCAATTTTCAAAAGATCACATTTGAGCGTTAACAAATTTTCCTGAAAAATAAACAAATTACACGCCTTGGGGTAAAATCTGTGGTCCAAGTTTTGAACGGGAAGTCCATCATCCGCTTGTAATACTCAACATTAACTAATCTACATAACTTTGTCCGTTTGTCTCAACTGCTGCTCATTTTGAGTAAAAAATTTCAAGACAAAAGCTATCATCAGAAAAGCCTGGAAACCAACTTAACAGAGTAATAAACTGGACAAAACGGGGCAGCAGACGCGTGTTGAGCCGAAAAAAAATATTGTCGAAAATTTTGAGTAATAAAACAGTTTTTGAGCCCCCCCCCCCCCTCCCAAAGCGCACACGCTTACGATAATTTTTAACTTTTATAACGACGCAAAATGAAGCAACAATGCCAATATTATACAAATGGAATTTTTAAAAGGCAAATAACCACTTTAAGCAGGTAAACACAAGTATAGTCGGTTGCTGTGTATGAAGAACAGCATCTTCCGACCACACTGATTTAAAAAAATATATTTTAATTTTTAGAAAACATTTTCTTGAATCAGCGTGGTTGGAAGATAATTTAGTAGTAAAGGGCGACTGAAGTTGACATAGTAATAAAATGAAGTAAAAATCATCAATTTTTGTCTAATTTAGTCTGAAAATCAAAAATATTTACACCCATTTTTCTCGACACTTAAGAGATTGATTATGATTTTTTAGAACCCGAAACACGACCAACATGGCTTTAGTATAATACCACACTTGACCTTCTATGAGATTTCCGCAAGGTAGTCAAAATTGGCTATAAAACTTCAAAAACGGACGTCACACCATAGCTCCTTCTAAGTCAAACTTCCTTTTCGAGATTGGTCGGAAAATTAAAAAAAATAGGTTTGAAGCCGGAGTTAGTAAATTTACAATGAGTATTAAAAATCAGTTTCGAATAGAACGGATATTTCAAATGCAAACATGCTCAAAATATGTTCGTTGGATAACAAACACAAAGCTCTCGAGAGAATTAACGACAATATTGAGTGAGAAAAATTTTTAACCTGAAACAGTCTATGTAGCGATTTGGCAACGCTTGGCTAATCGCAAGCGTAAATCTCACCAAAAATATTATAAATTGATCTTAGTCAAGATCTTACTCAGTGCATGTTTGGACTTGTGTTCTCCCTCTTCTAGATCCTCCTCCTTGCCTCCCTTTTTCTTTTTCCTCGTCTCCCTTTTCTCCTCCTTCTCCTTGTCCTTCTCCCCTTCCTCTTCTACCTCTCCGTCGTTGTCCTCTCTCGCTTCGATCTCCAACTCATCTTCTTTTACAGATTCAATCGACACTCGCTTCGTCTTTTCTGTCAATCCTTCGTCCTCAATCTTGCTGTCCTGAAATATGTATATTTTTGGCATGATATATGCAAGCAACGTTTGATATAATTTGGTGTCATGCTATGACCGAGTTTACAATTTCATTTGTTTTTTTTTAGACATTCCGAATACATTTTATAAAAATTGCATAGCTAATTAGACATTCAAAATCAAAAAAATAAATGTGTCGTTGCTTTTGTAGACATTCAAAATCCATAAAAATCATCTTGCTGTGTCTAGAGAATCAAAATCCATTAAAAAATTATACATTGCTTTTGTAGACATTCAAAATCCATAAAAAACATTGCAATTTTTAGACAATCAAAATCCATTAAAAAAATCGTGCTTTGTTTTTTAGACATTCAAAATGCATTGAAAAATAACAGCAGAAAAAAATCAATCAAAACTAACGCTTTTTAGCCTTTAACCTGTCTAACATGTAGATGAGAATAAAGTGACAGTTATAACCTTGGATTTTCTTTTCCTGTCAAGCGAGGGCGATTTGTGATCATTTGTCGATTCCCTGGATTTATCCTTGGGAGCAGTCGGACTCTTATTCGACACAATAGTCTGAAAATGAACCCGTTTAAGACCTCAAATTTGAATGATCTTCAGCAGTTTTCCTTAACAAATGCCTCACGTTTAGGACGTCAGTGGAGATGACGATGTTGCAGTTCTGAGAGTCTCCTGAAGATGTCACCCACTTCCGTTTCTTCTCCTTGCTGCCTCCTTCTTCGGCTGGCACTCCTGCCAAGCAATTCAAATATTCAATTTCTAAAAAGCTGTCACCCAAAATACCTGCTTCAGTCATTTATGAGCTTGTCATATAGTCGCAAATCGAAGCAGATATAAATTTTGCCAGAGATCATGCATTTCAGACATACCATCGACTGCAGGAGTTTCATTTCGCTTCCGTATTTTGACCGGTTTCGATTGGGCCTTCTAAAAATAAAAACTTGCATTAGCAATGGCGGTAAAAATTCATTTCTAAAGATAAGGCTTTTATTTTATGAAACACATGTCTAACAAACTTATAGCAAACATTCATAATATAACATAGATTTTGATCAAATGAAAAATTTATCAAACTATGTTTTAACTCACTCTGTAACTGCCGTTAAGCCAACCAATGCTTAGTACTGATTGTACTATCACAAGGTAAACTCAACAAAAGGAAAACGAACGGAACCAAGTCGGGCTAACAGACATATTTATGGCACGAAATTTTGTAATCTCAGAAGAATGGATATTAGTTTAAAGACGGTCCAGAGAAAAGAAGTAGACAAAATTCATTCACAGCTGGCTTATAGTAGCGACCAGCTTTCGAGGCATGTCCAAGGTGGCAGTGAGGATCCACAAAATGACACATTGGCAATTGGCTAACCAATGATTAGTTTCTCTTATAGCTGAGAAACTAGCTTAGGACGCCAGTGACCATTTAGCGGGCCATAGCATCAAAAGCAAATACCTCAGTAAATATGGAAGTAAATGAGCGACGAGAAGGAAGTAACAAGATGTAAAATCACTACCAAGTTTTTCACCACAGCGCCCCAAAATGCTTACGTATATTTGTGATGTACCTTTCTTTCCTCTCTCTGAAGCAAAAACCAACACAGCTTGAATCCTACCCGGAAAACTCGTATCTTTTTAATCCTCGTTTTAATGACTCATCCAAAAATGAACGCAGTTCCGTTCGTATTTTGACTCTTTCATCAGCATTTGTCACATGGCTCGTGTTGTTAATGACCAACTGCCATTTTTAGCGTCTCCAAAATGAAACCATTACCACCACATTTTCTTTTTTAAAGGATTCATGGACGATTTCTTCTTAAACGGATCTTTAACAGGTACTTGTGGATAAGGCTTTGAGCTTTGTCGATATGGGTCAAAAGATTCATGTTCCAAACTGAAGTATGAAGGTCTCTTCTTAGTTTATTGGCCTTTTGCAGATTTGCCAACTTTCTGATCAGACAGATCGGCTTCAACGGTTATCCTAACTAGCAGCGACAGCATGGAAGCCTTCGCTTTCTTTGTCTCTAGTCAAGTTGACTCTTTCTTCGCAAACATCACTTAGCCAGCATTTCATTTTCAGCTTATTCGACAGTCCTCTTCTAATGCTCACCGCGTCCCAATTTTTATCTGTCATCTATTCTTCAAGTCCACGGAAGATCTTCTTTCAGCTTTTTATTATTTCCGCAGCAACGGGATCTAATCCGCTTAGTTGTCTAGAGCGTTAGCAGTTACTTCCAGTTTTCGCCTCATTAGGCTAGAATTGTTTTCACGGGATACCACTTGTTTGATTTAAGGCATGGGAGCGCAATGGAGATGTTTATTGGCTAAGTCCCCCCATTTCAAAATTCCGATAACTTCTCATGTTCATTTTCATATAAACTTGCCACTGATATTCGATGAAACTTGGAACAATCTGATATTTGCACGCATTGTAGGAAATTCGCAATGACCAGGCCTCATGACGAGCACATGAACCTATGAGCGCATCAGTTATACACAGCTGATTCTAATAAAACAACCTTTCAGTTTCCCATTCAACCAATAACAGCTTCATTGAATCTTTGTACATTGTATTTTAATCTTCATGACATATTCTATGATTTTTTCCCCATGTACTGCAAGTAACTTCAATTGAAAAACCGCCAAAAATAACCTTTTTCTGTTAATATTTTATTTTAAAAGCTCAATCTCGTTTTTTGAAATTCTAGAGCTATTAAACTTACCACAGGATTGACAATTTTAATATCAAAAGAGGGCCTGTCACCCTGAGCCGGAACGACGACAGTCCTTTGCTTCGTGCCGTCCACTTCACGACTTCGGTCCTCTATTTCTGGCTCTTGACTAGCATTTCCAGAAATTTCGGCAGTTTCTTCAGTCATGCTATCCTCCACCAGACCTTCTTCCTGGTCGTTTGGAGTCACAAGTTCGCCGTCTTTTAAAACGACAATTTTGTCAGACAAATTAAACCACTCGGTATTTCAAAAATGCTTAAATTGAAAAGTTCGCCATATTTCAAAACAACTAATTTGTCAGACAACTTAAAATCCTTGACATTTAAAAATGCGGAATTTGGAAAATGGTGCATTTGACGACTGAAAAACGCAACAATTTAATTACCTTCAACGTTTTTCTCTTTCTTCTGTTCTTCGATTGTATCACGAGACTCATGCGTTTCCATTCCCAACGTCAAATCAGATGAGCTTTTTGTCACGTCAAGAAGGCTTTCTTCTTCGGCGTCGACATCCAGATCAAGGATCGGTTCCTCTACATCATGTGGAGTTTCGATAGTATTGACGTTGACCCGGACGATATCTTCCTGCTGCTCAACAGTTTCAATTGAATTCAGAAGAGTTTCTTTCTCAGGTAACTTTCGCAATTGCTCCAAAACTTCGATTTGATTAGTCTTGGCTACAACTTCTTTCTGAACATTATGTTCATCCAGATCCACTCGTACATTTAAAGTTGTTTCATTGTCGACTGGTGGCCCTTCCAAATTCAAAACGGGTTCAACAACTGGCTCTACACTATCTTCATGTTCTGCAACTTGTTCAATAATAGCTTCTGTTAGATCTGCAGCTTCCTTTACTGTAAACAGGAGACCACATTGCCTTATTGTGAATTCTTTATTCTAACTATGATTTATTGCCTATTCATAATTCTCATGAAGCCTTTGCAGAGGAGGGATGATTGAAAATAGCAACAATGCATTCAGTGCTGCTAGCTGACTTCATTTAATGATCCAAATTTTCTTGAGGGCTTATATAGTGTGGGTATGCCCCTCTCTGGCTAGCGCACTTAACGTACGCAAAGGAGAATGGCCTTTTCATAATTTATCTTTTAATATTTTGACATCATATTAAGAGTCTTCTGGAATGGAACGGAAGAGGTCACACACAAAGTAACTCACCCCATTCTACCAGATTTTCAGACGTGACACTTTCTTTGGAGCTGGTAGCATTCTGAAAACACATTCCTTGATTTAAACAAACACATGTGTCGGGTGTATGACAAGTTCTGAAAAACTAAAACACAGACCTTAGCGTCTTCAATTCTTGCAATGAGATCTTTTTTAACTCCTTTTGTACTTAATCCCAATTGAGAGCACACATCTTTCAGTTCAGCTACTTTAAGAGCTGATACGTTGTCCGGGAAAACATCCATTCTGAAATAAAATTTTAAATTGAAAAGATTTTTTTTGAATTCAAAACTGACGGAATGTGTGGTAAAGAAGACCACAAGAGGTTTCTCATGTCATTGAATTATCTCTTTGAGACACATCACCTATGGGGGTTCTGTGATTTGACATGCTTTGGGGGCTATGGGGTTTCACAAGACAGATTCTCTGAAGTTAGTAAATAGTTGGAAGGAATACCATCAGTGTTGTGCCAGGCGGTAATATTTGGAAGTTTGACCTATCTCTGGAGAAACAGTTGAACTGGGCGCTAAAAAGAACATATTTCAGATCGAATTTTAAATCTTCTTCCCTTCTTCGCATTAGCAAATCGTTCATTGGAATCGAGAAAAGAATTGAGTTAAAGTGTATAACATACTTATACCAATATCTTACAAACAAAAAGAAGGCTTTTGAAAATACACTGAGACTACCGACTGCCAATTATAGGCTCAACGAAAGAACGAAACAAATTATTTTTGACAAACATTGTTCGACTGCTTCTCTACAAAAATCATTTTTTCATTTGACTTCTAAAAAATGGAATTCACTGCCCATAATTTTGCGCAATTTAGAAAAATCGAAAACAGAATTCAAGAAAAAATTGAAAGAATTTTACGTGAGTGAATTGAGAAACAATCCTATATGTACTAATACAAATACGTGGCGTGATTACCGTTTTTGCTAGTTCTATATTTTTTAATTCAGTTTAATTTTTCACACATTGCTTGAAAGAGAAACTGTATATACTCTGCATATACGTTGTATAATTGGACTATCTGTAAAATTGTTTGTAAAGTTTTATTACCAGCTTGTTCCTAATTCTTAAATCTTTAATTTTCTATAGTATCCGAAACTTCATATACTTTAATCAACCAATTTCCGAACTGTAACCGATTTTGTTTTTTTTTTGTTTTGTTTATTGCTTGTTTTCTGATGTTTTGTTTTTGTTTGATGTAACCAATGAATTTATAACCAATTTTATTATTTACACTTTGCTACACTGATGCCTCGGCTTTTTATTGTATAGTAATTCAAGTGTTCTTTCTTCTTCTTCTTCTTCAACACGAACTACGTAATTTTGGGAGGAAATTTAATTTTTCAAAAATCGAATGGAGCCTGTCATGCTCAACTTTCTCGCGCAAACTGAAAATCTCAGAAATAGAAGATCAGAACAACCGATTTAAAAACGCGGGAAAGTGCTTATAAAAGCAGCGGGAAATTGCTATTCGCAATTTCCAGATACAAAATAAACGCGAGTAGAGCCGTCTTATTCTGAAATAGGAGAAGGAGTGATTACAGAAGGAGAACACAATTATTCGAGCTGAACTAGAGTGAACCCTGTGGAAAGGTGGACAGCTGGGGTGTCCCAATGGTTCCGACCAAAACTTCAATTCTTGAGTCAAAACTTATTTCCCTTGTTGAAATTAATTAGTATAAAACCTCTCAAATTATCATACTTAATTCTCGAGTTGCTTACTGATTTAGTTACTCCAATTCTTGAGTGTGCTGATATGTGAGTACCCAATTTAGTTTTCTCGAGTGTGTTTTATGATTGTAATGTTGAGGTAAGGAGAGTATTAGGTTGATCCATCTGAAATGGATCAAAGCTCCACTGTCTAATAAAAAATAACTGTGCGGATTGTTCCGACCCTGTTTTTAACGGCGTTCGTGTATTTTGGGTATTTTCAGACCTAAGTATGGGGACGTTCTTATTTTCTAGAGTGGGGGGTATTTTGGTAGTGGCCTTTAAGCTGTAACGGGTTTTTAGTCTCATGTCGCAAGCGAACCGAATTGGCTCCGACCGTTTTGAGGTAGAAAAACACAAGAGATAGTGTCCCTGACTCTTGAGCCAATGGTTATAGGGCCAATTCCTTTAAACCTCATATGTGACCGAAGTAGGCGACTGTTACATAGTGTTTTTATGGCGCTCCTGGGTGTTTTTACGACATCATGACTACGGAGTCGAACCCACTTGATGCAGCTCCGGGCTACATGCCCATTCGAGAGTACCGGTGGTACGGTTCAGCAATTTGACCTTGAGGAACCTATGGGGGCTATGGGGTTTCACAAGACAGATTCTCTGAAGTTAGTAAATAGTTGGAAGGAATACCATCAGTGTTGTGCCAGTCGGTCATATTTGGAAGTTTGACCTTGAGGAACACGAACTACGTAATTTTGGGAGGAAATTTAATTTTTCAAAAATCGAATGGAGCCTGTCATGCTCAACTTTCTCGCGCAAACTGAAAATCTCAGAAATAGAAGATCAGAACAACCGATTTAAAAACGCGGGAAAGTGCTTATAAAAGCAGCGGGAAATTGCTATTCGCAATTTCCAGATACAAAATAAACGCGAGTAGAGCCGTCTTATTCTGAAATAGGAAAGGGAGTGGTTACAGAAGGAGAATACAATTATTCGAGCTGAACTAGAGTGAACCCTGTGGAAAGGTGGACAGCTGGGGTGTCCCAATGGTTCCGACCAAAACTTCAATTCTTGAGTCAAAACTTATTTCCCTTGTTGAAATTAATTAGTATAAAACCTCTCAAATTATCATACTTAATTCTCGAGTTGCTTACTGATTTAGTTACTCCAATTCTTGAGTGTGCTGATATGTGAGTACCCAATTTAGTTTTCTCGAGTGTGTTTTATGATTGTAATGTTGAGGTAAGGAGAGTATTATGTTGATCCATCTGAAATGGATCAAAGCTCCACTGTCTAATAAAAAATAACTGTGCGGATTGTTCCGACCCTGTTTTTAACGGCGTTTGTGTATTTTGGGTATTTTCAGACCTAAGTATGGGGACGTTCTTATTTTCTAGAGTGGGGGGTATTTTGGTAGTGGCCTTTAAGCTGTAACGGGTTTTTAGTCTCATGTCGCAAGCGAACCGAATTGGCTCCGACCGTTTTGAGGTAGAAAAACACAAGAGATAGTGTACCTGACTCTTGAGCCAATGGTTATAGGGCCAATTCCTTTAAGCCTCATATGTGACCGAAGTAGGCGACTGTTACATAGTGTTTTTATGGCGCTCCTGGGTGTTTTTACGACATCATGACTACGGAGTCGAACCCAATTGATGCAGCTCCGGGCTACATGCCCATTCTAGAGTACCGGTGGTACGGTTCAGCAATTTGACCTTGAGGAACCTATGGGGGCTATGGGGCTTCACAAGACAGATTCTCTGAAGTTAGTAAATAGTTGGAAGGATTAACATCAGTGTTGTGCCAGTCGGTCATATTTGGAAGTTTGACCTTGAGGAACACGAACTACGTAATTTTGGGAGGAAATGGATCAAAGTCTTTTGAGGACAGGCAGTTGTAATACGGTTGTACCGTGATAGAAAACTTCCTGGTACGCTCTCCGAACGAGGCTTAGCTAACCGAGTAAGGGGGGTGACGAAAAAACTAGGGGTGACAAAAAAAACGAGCAAAAGACAAAAAGCGAAACAAAAACCAAAAGAACAGAAAAAGGAACAAAAACTATAAAACAAAAAATGACAGTGACTTTGACACCAAATTAGTTGGATCAAACCTTTGTATTACTTTAATAGTATACCCATACTGTTTTTTTTTATAAGACCGACCGTTTCGATCATTTCAGCAATCTGAAAAGGTGCCCGAGTGTGGGGCGTTGTGAAGGGTTTTCAGATAGCTTGC